AATTTCTTTGCGATTTTCAGCTGACTACTGCCATTCTCTGTACTGCGTTTTGCGCAAACTCAATAAACATAACCAACTGACGTTGTCTACAGGGATATCGGCAGCAAGGCAGTGTTAATGTTTGTACAAACAAACGAGCTGTATAGTCAAATTAAAAATTCATTAGCGATGAGTGGATGAGTGAAGAAGACATCTGTAAGAGACAATTCACCATCAGTTGCAAGAAAATATGTTTAAAGAGGTTTCAAGGGGTAAGGCGTCGCAAACCTTAGCAGAAACTTTGCGAAATTATGATTGCAATAAGGGCCCATCTGCAAGAGCAGCAATATCAATTATGCGTAGGGAAATTATTTACATTAATACATACATATATAATGGCGGTCGAAATGAGCAACATTCTTCCACCGGATTTTTTGTTTCTTTTAAACTAGGTAAATGTATGTACACATACATACATGGATACCCTGCAGGAAATTGAATTAGTTTGAAAGCAATTTATAAACTACTTTATTTTCAATGATAACCAATTGAAATTCTCACTATTTTACCTACAATGAACTCATTTATATAACATGGCGATGTCCTAAGAAGCAGTGAATTGCCTTTTCCTGCATGTATTTTCAACTACATTTAAAATGAATTTGACTTAAATAACTTCAAAGTAAGTATGTTTCTTTTGAATACGCTCTCGTTCTGGACTTTACAGATGCTTTTNGTGTATTTTCAACTACTTTAAAATGAATTTGACTTAAACAACTTCAAAGTCAGTATGTTTCTTTTGAATACGCTCTCGTTCTGGACTTTACAGATGCTTTTTCACACTTCCAAGACACAAATTGTTTTTTTTGAGCAAAAGTAGTATAAAAATTCGAAACATTTACTCATTGCATTTGTTTAAAAGTAATCTTTAATTAGTTGATTTAAAAAAAAAAATACTTGTTTCCGTCAGGGTAAATATGCCAATGTACATAAGTACATAATTAAGGTCGTGTGGTTTCTGGGCTTTGATTAGCACTCCGCTCCTAAGTGGGTTATAATTGCAACTCAGTTGCTGCGCCTAAAAAATCTTTGCAAATGGGCTGCGCATTAAACGAATTAACGCATTGTTGCGTAAGTAGTTTTTGCTTTACACTTTTGCTTTTTGTATTCATCTTACTCAATGCTCAAAACGATCTTTGGTTAGTAAGAAATTTACACCTGAGAATATAATCCTGGAAAATATGTAGGCAACACATAAGACTGAAGAACATACATACATATCGAGCCCTAACCGCCAAAATAACGTAAGCGACATTTTGTTCAAAATTTTCTTTTTGATGCAGAAATGCATCTAGATGCTCTAGGAATATTTCTGCATCAAAAAGACAATTTTGAAAAAACTGTCNCCAGACAAATACATATGAGGCATGAGAACTATCTAGATTTTTCCTAAAATAGATATGTTGTCNCCAGACAAATACATATCGATGGCTGAGTGGAAGATCGACCTATCTCGGCAGCCAGTTCGAAAAAATTCTATCTCAAAAAACTTTTCAAGAACGTCCTATTTCAGAATTTAATTGAAAAACACTCTATCTCAAAATTCGGTTCAAAAGCGCCCTATCTCACTTCAAAATGTATTGAAAATATTCTGATATAGGGCGTTTTTGAATCGGCAGCTGAGATAGGGCGTTTTTGAAACGAATTCTGAAATAGGGCGTTCTTGAAAAGTTTTTTGAGATAGAATGTTTTCGAACTGGCTGCCGAGATAGGTCGATCTTCCACTCAGCCATCGATATGAGGCATGAGAACTATCTAGATTTTTCCTAAAATAGATATGTTGTCTAAAATGCCTTACTAGAAAGGGATGCTCATAACCAGAGCAACCCTCGTTTGGTTTTCCCATGATGGAATAGGTAGAAACTAGGGCTGAGAATTTCATCCGGATTTTAAGACTATCCGGTTAAACCGAATACTCGAACATCCGGATACCTGAACGAAAAATCCTGATATCCGGAAGCTACGATAATATTCGGATATCCGAATGGCTGGATTTCTCTTTGAATAATGTCTACATACTGGCTGCGTGTCTTTATATATTCCGGATAATCCCATTTCACAGCCGGAATAAACCGAATGCGTTTGAAATATACGTTAACATATCATCAGGAACGTTCTAAAGAATAAGTAAACAAAAACGTTTATTCCAAACGTTCAGAATGAATTTCTACTACACTATGTGCAGATCGAAAGTTATTAGATCGTTGAAGCACAATCGAACTTTTATTCACAAAAAAACTTTGTTCATTATTATACGTCAAAACTATTGCGTGCATAAAGGTGCTATAACAATAAGCACAAGTAATTTTTAGCAAAAAAAAAAACTGACTTCAACTCTGATATAAAAAAATATATATATACAGTGACGAACAAAAGTATTGGCACAGTGAATTTTTCGCCATATATGCAAAGGTTTTTATTCTAATTTATTTTCGATAATTTTTTATAAAAATATAGTTCATTCTACACCAGAAAACGTAATNGTGACGAACAAAGGTATTGGCACAGTGAATTTTTCGCCATATATGCAAAGGTTTTTATTCTAATTTATTTTCGATAATTTTTTATAAAAATATAGTTCATTCTACACCAGAAAACGTAATAGTAAAAACTCTAAACTTTGTGCAAAACTCAGCAAAATTCATTAAATTTGCACCCTAATTTGCAACTTTTTATTCAGATTTTTTAGAAAAATTCAATTCCATTCAAATTTAGTGTAACAAAGTGCAAGTTTAAAGTTGCTAGAAAATCGCGTTGNCTATAGCCCATTCAAATTTAGTGTAACAAAGTGCAAGTTTAAAGTTGCTAGAAAATCGCGTTGATTTTTGGCAATTTTTTTAGTGGAAGGTGTTGCTCATTTTCTCCATACAAAAAATAATTGTCGAATTACTTTGTATGGAACTTGCGTGAAAAAAATTACCAAAAATCAATGCGAATTTTCGTGAGTTTTGCACAAAGTTTAGAGATTTTATTATTATGTTTTCTGGTGTAGAATGAACAATATTTTTATAAAAANGTTGCTCATTTTCTCCATACAAAAAATAATTGTCGAATTACTTTGTATGGAAGAACTTGCGTGAAAAAAATTACCAAAAATCAATGCGAATTTTCGTGAGTTTTGCACAAAGTTTGAGATTTTATTATTATGTTTTCTGGTGTAGAATGAACAATATTTTTATAAAAAATTATCGAAGATAAATTAGAATAAATAACTTTGCATATATTGCGAAAAATTCACTGTGCCAATACTGCACTGTATATATATCTCATGATCCACTGATCGGATCTTAACCAGATTAGTATGGGACCACCTCTGAGACACTACCTTCCCGATGCAAAAATCGGAATTATCGAAATCGGTTGACGTGGTCCAAAGTTATGCGGTAACATAGTAAAAAAAAAATAAAATAAAAATATTCCGACGAACTGATAACCTCCTCCTTTTTTGGAAGTCGGTTAAAAAGTTGAGATCATTTCCAAAAAGGAAAGGACAAGAATAGTGTCATTTCTTTATTTTGTGGCAAAACGCTACAAAACAAAGGGTCAACCTCAAGTCTTTGGAACCACTATACATTTTTCCATCTTCAAGAGAATGGCAAAGGCGCAGCTTATATCTCTAAATCTCAGCCATAGTCTGAATTGATTAGTATTTTATTAAAACGACACTTTGATAACACACCTTCACAAAATGCGGGATGTTCAGGGCCATTTACCAAAAACTACCGATAACTACAATCCCTTCTAGTTTAGATCGAACAAAGGAACCTTTATATTGGCACGCATATGGGAAAGTCTTTTAAGATGTGGACATTTTGCGTACTGGAATATTGTTGACGCAACAAAGCAGCTGCACTGCCAAGTGTGGTTTCTATACCTAGTGCAACTCGCACAAAATCTAAATCTGAAATCTGAATTCTACAAAAGTTGTGTATAAGGGTCTTCAGTTAAGCCACGGTCTCCGAATGTGTGCAATACTGAGTGACTATTAAATAGACCTAAAAAAGGCAAAGAGAACCTCAGGGACGGACTTTTGTAGCAATGTGGAATTTGCGTTGGCGGTAAGTAGACAGCTTCTGGATGCCAGCAGAGGCCCGATAGCATATGAGCAGACACGGGCAGGAAACCGTGTATGTACTTCTGAAGACCCACTCTACAAATGCTTCAGATAATAGGCCTAAATCCCTACAAAACTAGGAGCAGTATAATGTAACGCCATAAGAAGAAATTCACTCCAAAATAAGATTTTTTTGGTTGTTGATCCTGCAAACCATAAAAGGCTACAGGACCAGACGGGGTCACAACCATTCATCAAATCACTATTCTCTAAGAAATATAGCCTTCCTTAACATAAAAGAAGTAAAATCAGATAAAGCGTTGAATGAAGACAAGACAAAGTACCACCTGGAAACATATACAGAGTAAACACATTTCGTGACACACATCTCTGTTGGCAGCTATAACTTTGAATTAGCACCTAGGGTTCAGCATAAACACCTGCAATAACGTCAGCATGGAGATCTCGCCATGGCGCAGAAACGTGGACGATGTCGAACAAAGATTAGAAGGCTTTGGGTGCTTTTGAAATATGTAACTATTCTAAGCAAGATCTACGGCCCTGTTCGCGTGGACGACGGGTAGAGGAGAAGATGGAATGACGAACTGTATGCGCTTTTTAACGACATGGACATAGTTAGCAAGGGCGCTCACAAACAAAATTGAAGGACCAAGTGAAGAAGGACCTGTCTGGACTCGTTACAGCAGTTGGCGCCAATTCGCACAGCCGAGAAGCAATTCTGGGCCCAACCCGACAAAACGATTGTAGTGCCAAATAATAAGAGGAAGAAGCACCTGTAGGGGTGCAATTAGGCGTACATTTCAACTAGACAAGCAATGGCAGTGCTGTCTATGGCTGGGCCGAAGACGTCATACATTCGATGAACATCAGACAATGTAACTTCAACCTACTAGTGCATTTTTCATCAGCAACCTGCGGAGAGGTCACATCATTTTAAGGAGGCACTGTGGAGGAGGGCACTGAGGTTTGTTGGTACTGGATTGAGCGATATTGTGGGTATAAAGATAAGGCTTTTACTCAAATTTGTTAACTCCACATATTATTTAATATAAAAGGGATGGTGTAAAGATATATTACTATTTATTTATTTATATAATATTAGTCAAATGAACAATATATTCTTACTGACTACTGAACAACTTTACTTAGAGACTAGTTAAAATCGTTAAATAACATTTCATATTTCGCTAAAGTGGGTGGGTGAGAAAAGGTTCTTTCCCTAACAATCTGGACCGGATCCGGTAGTTAGAGAATAAGTGAAAAGTTTGCTCTCAAAAATGGAACATAATCCAGAAGTACGCGAACGCAAAAAACCACATTTCGTGCCCAGAATTTGAGAAACAATTGATTCGGGTCGTTTTGGTTTTTGTCACTTAAATGCAAACTCTTGGAAATTGAATATTTGTTTCACAAATTTGATTTAAAGAATATAAAGATTGAAAATACATTCACTATTCCTTAAAAGCACCAAGTAAATGCAGGCAACATGTAAACACAAAACAGCCGATATGCACTTTGACACTTTGGGCAGGAAGAAGAAGACTCTTACAATCCAATACGTTTCAATTTTTGCTCTCTATTACCCATTTTGTTGAGTACGGGAATGATTTCTGGCCTGTTTTGGGTACCCGCGGGATCCCGCGTTGCGTACGGGAAAGAACCTAAAATTAGAGTGTTTGAATTTTCGCTTGACATTTATGTACCAAAAACAACAAACTACATGTAATGAAAACGTAGCGTTCCTAATACTTAAAAGAAGGGATCCAATTTTGTTTCAGAAGGAAATAATGTACCTAAGCATTCAAGTGAAGCAGTGGGTACAACACTCATATCATACATCTTGTAAGAAATCGTTTTTGTGATGTATAGCTTTGGGCAAAGCTTGACATGTTTCTAAGGCTCTGACAGTTTCGAGCACAACGTGAACGAATATAAATACATACATGTGTACATATTTTCCCATATATGCAAATATCTATGCTGATATACATGTGTATATATTTGGACATCTTACAAGCTTATCAAACGAAATCAGAATGCTTTCAAAAGCCAATTTTCATTAAGTACCAAAGAATACAACAACTAATGCAGACGTACTGAAGCATGCGGCGCGAATTTTTTAATTAATGAGTTACGCTACCTGAATTTGTAATGTTCATTGAAAATTGCAAGCCATTATGCCACGTTCACACAATATTCGCATCCACAGAAGCTTAAGCGCTGCGAACCGACAGCCGCCAGAATCAAAGCATTGAGGTTTGGAGCATTGTATGGACATTAAAAGGGATACGCGAAGCTATCAATAGGTATGTGCATACGTTTGTTTGTAAATATAGGCAGAAAATCAATTTTATCGACCGGAGTGAAAAATTTAAATAAAAATTCTTTGGTCATTAAGCGCAACATGCATATTCGGGTAGGAAGAAGTGTTGAGCAGGAGAGGTTAATTGAAGGAAGGAAGACTTGGCCATGGTTACAACTGCATAATTTCGGCTCGTCGTATTGTAGTTTCTCACAACAAGCCTGGGAGCCCTTTGTGGTCACAGATAGTCCGATGTGCATGTATGTACATACATATGCATATAAGTGAACATCAACGCTGGCATGAAAGCGAGAACATATGAACGATGCGATAAATCTTCGCCGCTCAACGCTGAACAACATTTAATTTCCAACTTAAACGGCTTTAACCTGCCATAAATCTATAAGCTTTACATGCGCAGGCCGTTAATGTTTTTTTTTTTTAAGAGACCAAATTTAATTCGTTCGGCAAACCAAAACATTTGCACATTCGTCACGTTTTTCTCTTCAACAGCAGCCGCATCGAATAGGTATCTAAGTGGAGTGAGTAAAAGATGAAGTAAGTATGTAGATATATAAAGGACTAAGCCGCACTCGCTGCAGCTGCAGGCACGCAGTCACTAAGCCTGGAGTGAAGACCTAACGCAAGTGCGGTCAACTTATAACAACAAAACCCTATTAAAAATCGCTGGCACTTGTAGTCAGTCGTTGGCAATCGTTGTTAATGTTATCACACAGTAATTTTACAATAATAGGCTCAAAAGATTTTTCTTTTTACTGTCCTTAATTTCTGCTGTTGGACCATCTAAGTTAAACAAGGGAATGTTCACATGTCCATTCCACCGGAGTGATTATAAATATATTTTCTCACTTGATCTGCACAGTTTTTTTTGGATAGCATTGGCAATATTCTTCGATCTCGTTTTAATCTTTATAGCAGCTCATCCAGCGTTAAGGTGTTACATGCGCTTGCATTGTTCCTTTTATTTATTGTTATTATTTTTCTGCTACAAGTTTGTTATTGTTGTTGTTATGTATTTCACGTTTGTTGTTCATCAAACAGCATTTACGCCATTTAAGCCATTTTTATTGCTGTCCGCATATCAAATTCATTTCGCGCGCATATTTTCACGCGCCTGATGACCGTCCGTCCTTCTTACATGCACAGAAGAATTTCAGTAATCTAAGATGCTGAGGGAGTAGTTGGATGGTTGTACTATGAAGTGAAGTGATGCTTCGAGTTGTAAATGCGTGAATATGCGGTTATGTTGCATACTTGATACCAGAGTAATTTTTTTAGAAATGAAAAAATAAATATTTCACTAAGTGCAGTAGTTGGAAAACTTCAAAGCCTAAGAGGCTCTTCGCATCAGCTTCCTCTCCTCGATCGAAAGAGGTTTTGAAAGTCATTACTTTGAACTTTGTTTAAGTTGAAGGACTGTGTCACCTTTCTGGTATTCCTATACATGTACGAGGAATCCAATTATGTAGATAGCATGTAATATAGGGGTAGGTGTCATCCAATTCGTGTATATACTCATGTAATCGGCGCCTATAACCATTAAATTATTAATAATTATTTTAAATTATATTTTAAATTATATTTTAATATTTGATACAGTAACTTCTGTATCATTTAAATAAGTTCAGCTTTTTAAAGATAGCAAAATATTAAATATTTAAAATATTTTAAACAAAAAATATTTTTCAACTACAATCTTGTTAAACCCTTTACGTGCGACACCAAAATATACATATTTAAATTATCTAATTCCTTAAATTCAAGCTGCATATAAATTTCAAAACGGGGGAAACTCTGCTATATGTGTAAACAGGACAGACAGCCTTCTTCAAAATATTTTCAAACTAAAACGTTTGACACCAGTATTTTGATGCATATTTACATCATCCGATTCCCTTAATTCAAGATAATTATAACAGGTGGCAACCCCTGAAGTTTAGAAATAAAATATCTCCAAAGCAGTTTCGATCGATGTCCATATTTAAGTAAGTCATTACAATGAATTTAACTTTGTAAAGAGGTGGCAACTCTCTTTTAAATCTCCACAATCTCTTTCGTCTGACGCTCATATCGGGATACATATGTATTTCAATTGCCGAATCGCCTTAATTTAAGTTTGAACTTGATTTTGTAAACGGGTGAAATGCCCCTGCAAGCAATTTAGAAATAAAGTTCATTCAAGGCCATTTTAATAGATATTCATATAGTAGTAATTCGTTTAACATATTGCATACATTGAATTTAACTTTGTAAATAGGTGGAAACGCTGTTTAAAATAATTTCAAACTAAAACCTTTTTAATACATATGTATCTAAATTATCTAATTCTCTTAATTAAAGCTGCACTAATTTTCAAAACAAGTGGCAAATCTTCCACATGAAGTTTAAAATATAGTTTTTTCAAAGCCATTTTTATTTATATTCATATTGTAGTAACTCATTTTACCTATTTTATATATTGAATTTATCATTGAACACAGGTGGCAACCCTCCTACATATAATAAATAAATAAAGCCTTTTCAAACCCATTTTCATCGATATCCATATTGTAATAACAGATTGTGTTTAATTATTTATCAGGTGGCAACCCTTTTCAACCAAATGTTGCTGCACATCTATAGGACATATATTTGAATAAAATTAACCTACCTAGAAAATATCAACCAATACTTCGCNGCATATTGTAATAACAGATTGTGTTTAATTATTTATCAGGTGGCAACCCTTTTCAACCAAATGTTGCTGCACATCTATAGGACATAACGGGTGATTTTTTTGAGGTTAGGATTTTCATGCATTAGTATTNCATATACCAAACGAAAGGAAAGAACTTGGATTTTTTATTAAAGAAGACAAAAGCGAAATCATTCGAGCGGTTTTCGAGCAATTCGGTAATAAAAAAAATTGCTTATTTTTTCAAAAAAATGTTGCCATAAAAGGCTAAATTTTTGTCGAATTTACATACAATGTATACACAATAATATTTCTATTGCTCCAAGGAACCTATATCCCGAAAATGAAAGCTAATCATAAATTGCTAGAGCACTTTAAAGGCTCAAAATTTACCCCAAAATAAGCCAATATTTACCGTTGTTTCTACGCCAACAACCGAATTGGTTACTTACAAAATTTAATTTTGAATTAATGGGCTTGGAGTTTTATTTTTGAAACAACGCATACTTCTTTGAAATCGCTTCATTAATTCTTGTGCAGTAAGCGTTTTCGTGAAGCTCCAAAAATTAAAACTACAACATTTGAGCATAGCCTCCTTATCGAAACGTAAGACGTATTCTACGTCAAAAGTACCCAGATGGAGATTTTACTTACTCATGGAATAACCCATATGGTTGATTATTTGACTGACAACGTTACATTCGTACGCTTTTTTATACCTTTCATGAGCATGAAATGGTATTATAACTTTGGTCCGATGTTTGTAAGTACCAGAATAAGAAGAGATAGACCCATTAAAATGTATACTTAAATGATCAGAACGGCGAGCTGAGTCGATTTAGCCATGTCCGTCTGTCTGTCTGTCTGTCCGTCTGTTTGTATGCAATCTAGTCTCTCAGTTTTCGAGATATCCAGATCAAATTTGGTAGGTGGGTGTATTTTTATAATGTATTAAACATTTGTCGGAACCGGTACAATCGGACCACTACAACATATAGCTCCCATACAACTGATTGTTCAGATATGAGATTTTTTGCTATAACTTCTTTATTTATGCAGATAGGAACTTCAAAATTCGCACCGTTTTCACTCAATATTAACAGAATACTTACAGTGAAAATAACAAAGATCGGGTCACTTTTACATATACATAGCTCCCATACAACTGATTGTTCAGATATGAGATTTTTTGCTATAACTTCTTTATTTATGCAGATAGGAACTTCAAAATTCGCACCGTTTTCACTCAATATTAACAGAATACTTACAGTGAAAATAACAAAGATCGGGTCACTTTTACATATACATAGCTCCCATACAACTGATTGTTCAGATATGAGATTTTTTGCTATAACTTCTTTATTTATGCAGATAGGAACTTCAAAATTCGCACCGTTTTCACTCAATATTAACAGAATACTTACAGTGAAAATAACAAAGATCGGGTCACTTTTACATATACATAGCTCCCATACAACTGATTGTTCAGATATGCGATTTTTTGTTATAACTACTCCATCTATGCAACCAAAAAAATGAAATTTCGCGCTATTTTCACTCATTATCAACAGAAAGTTTACAGTAAAATTAGCAAAGATCGGGTCACTATAATCTGTTTATTGCTTCTTATTATCACTGTAGTACTCCTTTATTTGGACAGCTAAAACCGATAAATTTCGTAAGCTATTTATAATTTTTAAATAATAATAAAAAGTCTACTGAGAAAATCGTCAAAATCTATGCCGTATAATCTTAATCTTTTGTGCCACTGATTGTTCAGATACCAGATTTTACGATATATGTATCTCCTTTATGTAGGAAGCTAAACCCATTAAATTGTGTTACCGGTTTACGTACCGATCACACAGCAGTGAAAATCACTTAGATTGGTGCTATATAAGGTATATCTTCCATACCTCTGATTGTTTAGATATGATTTTTTATATACGTATCTCCTCTATCTATGCCTGCTGTGAATATATAAATTTATTCAAATGCAATAATCTGTTATAGTAAAATATTCAGATGCTCATGAAAGGTATGAAGCCTTCGGCATAGCCGAAGACAGCGCTGCTCTTACTTGTTCTTAATATGAATCAATTGTCCATTAAATAACAGAACACCACCTGGGATTTTAAGGCATAGTCAAATCTATATTTTTATAAAAAAAAGGGTTTAATAGTTGATTTGGTCTCTTAGTTATGGGCATTCTAATGTGCACTATCTATGTTACTAGTGTAAGTGTGTGAAGTTCAGTGATAGGCGTCAGAAAGTCTAAAATTCCTGCGAACTGGGTGAACGAACATTGCTCGTTTTTCAGTATTTATGTCATCTGCAATGAATGTAGGAGGACATATTCATACTCAGGTGTTCTTAATTTTTGGTTTTTGATCATTTTTGCTCATAAAATTTAAGCACAATGGCCACGTTACGCGTACGGTGCGCTTAGGTATGGTTTAGCCCAAAGGCTTTGCTCATCCATTTTTACTTCACATTCCTATTTTGCCATCATAAACAAATGTTTGAGCTAATTGGTAACACTTCGGACATCTACCACTATATAAGTCAATAATCATGCCCGTGCTGGTATATTGCGCAGAACCACGGACAATGACAATATCAGGGCTGCCAGATGTTTATAGTCTAAAATCCGTACACAGGCAAAAAGTGGTGGGTGAAAAATCCGTACGAAATCGGTGTGTCCAAATTTGTTAGGCGAGCAAAAAAAATCTTTTGTACTTAGGTGAACACAGGAATCGTACTGTTAATAACATCAAATAAAGCAATAAATATTACCACTAGTGCTATTTAGTGATTGCTTCACAGACAACCTTATTATTTTTCTGACTTGAACTTTTTACCAAGCAGTGTGTTCTTAGTTTATGTACATATGTACATACATATACAAGCGATAGTTAAAATGGAAAAAATAAAGAAAATTGTTTTTTTTTTTTTTATTTTACGCGTCAAAATCTCCCCACAATCGAAGTCTACCAATAGATTGATATAGATAATTTTAACCGCCCAATTCTGTGTTTTCTTGATAAATTTTTTGTAAAGAAATTCTATCAAGTAAAAGCTCCCTTCGCATTCTGTGTCAATATTTATAAAAAAAAAAACCTTTACGATTTCCACATAAGTGGAACTGATTTCCACATGGAACTGATTGTCACATATGAAAAATATGAATTTAAAAGCAAGAAAGTTTTTGACTGCCGTAGCCGAGTAGATAAAGTTGTCGACTATAATTCCATGTGTCGCAGTTTCAAATGCCGGCACATGGAGTATTTAATTGTTAGAAACAAATTTATTAATATGCAAAATTTATACATTTCACATGAAATTTCAATTTGTCAATAGCATAGATAGATAGAAATAGATAGAAAAAATTGACAAATTATAAAGATTTCATTCTTCAAGTGAACAGAATCGGGCTGCAAAGGCCTATGAATACTCTTCTCATGTTTGATTTTTAAAATCGGGTGCAAAATAGTCAAGCTGTTAATAGGTATGATGTAAATCCGTACAACCATTTTCACCACTGAAAATCCGTATCGTATGGAAAAATCCGTACATCTGGCAGGGTCCGACAACATCTGCAGTATTCAAGACAAAGATTTTTCGGAAGATTGACGGGGCTTTACGCATTGGCGACGTCGATACGATGAGCTTTACAACGACATGGACATAGTTCACTGGATTTAAATATGACGGCCTCGCTGGCTTGCTCATGTCGCTCGAATGGACACCGACGCTCTAACTGTGAAAGTATTCAACTCGGAACCCATTGATGCTAGCATATGAAGAGGGAAGCCGCCACNAGATAAATAGATAGATAGAAATAGATAGAAAAAATTGACAAATTATAAAGATTTCATTCTTCAAGTGAACAGAATCGGGCTGCAAAGGCCTATGAATACTCTTCTCATGTTTGATTTTTAAAATCGGGTGCAAAATAGTCAAGCTGTTAATAGGTATGATGTAAATCCGTACAACCATTTTCACCACTGAAAATCCGTATCGTATGGAAAAATCCGTACATCTGGCAGGGTCCGACAACATCTGCAGTATTCAAGACAAAGATTTTTCGGAAGATTGACGGGGCTTTACGCATTGGCGACGTCGATACGATGAGCTTTACAACGACATGGACATAGTTCACTGGATTTAAATATGACGGCCTCGCTGGCTTGCTCATGTCGCTCGAATGGACACCGACGCTCTAACTGTGAAAGTATTCAACTCGGAACCCATTGATGCTAGCATATGAAGAGGGAAGCCGCCACTGCGATGTATGTATAGACCAGGTGGAGAAGAACTTGGCTTCACTTGCAAACTGCTTCTCATAGTTTAGGTAGTATCATTATATCGGCAAATGCAGAAAACTCATCTCTAGTTCTGCTCATGTCAAACAGGAACTAAATGTGTGTTTGTAAAAGCGAATTAGTTTTCTAAAGACCTACATACGTATGTACGCTTCGTGCATGGTGGAATTATACAAGGTGTTGTACGTAGTGACAGCTCATGTCGACGGCTCCCTTACAAAAGGTTGTAATATGGAAGCACGAGAGAAACGGGAAGAAAAAAAGCCCGCATTGCGAAGTAGTACGAAATTTGGTACTATTTTTCATATCAAATTTTGCATATAAATAGTTACAAACAAACAAGAAACAAGAAACTTAACGTTTGACATCGATAGGCTCCATGTTGCCGTGGTCCGATTGTAGAGGACGCATACTTACGTGTTCGTATCTAGGTTGGAAGATTAAATGCATTGCGGTTAAAAAAATCAGATTCCACTTTAATTTAGGGAATTAGATAATTCAAATATGTATCACAGTAAAAGTAAGAAAATGTAATAAAACTACATTTTTGTAATAATTACAGTAATATAACAGTCTTATTTATTGTTAAATGAATGTTGTAAGTATTAACCTGGAGTAAATTAGGGTCCACAATTACTGAAACATCGGAGTTTTCGTATTTTAAACGTATTGCTTTTCCATGCCAAGATAATTAAGTGCACCGAGTTTGGTATAAATTTATACAAATTGACAGCATCGCGACAATTGTGCACCCTACGTCGAATTTGCCCAAAAGCAAGTCAGACGCATTCTAAGCTAACCTGTTGAAGGATTACATAGAGATCACACTACGTGATGCTGCACCAAATGTCGATAGTGAAACAACCGTACACCACATTGTCACCAATGGTCCCCCAGTCCACGAGCGCCCACGCAAACTCACTGGTGAGAAGTTAAACGCCGCAAAAGAAGATTTTAATCTGTTGCTGCATCATGGTGTCATAACACCTTCGAGCAATCAATGGACAAGTCCCATCCACATGATGCCCAAAGAGTCCGGTGGCTGGCGCACTGCAGGAGACTTTCGCTTAAAAATCAACATAAAAAAATTCCATATCGGTGGAAGTGAAGTAGTCTACTTAGGCTATTCTGTGAGCCAGCATTGTTACCAGCCTCCTGAGGAAAAAGTTATCCAAAGCCTCAAACAGTTGTTGACTCGCGCCGCTTCCTCGGTATTGTAAATTATTATAGGCGTATTTTGCCTCACGCAGCAGAAATTCAAGCTTCCCTCAGTGAGTGCCTGAAAACAGCGCCCATCTCGCTGTAAATCCTTTGGAGAATACACAAAGCCCACGTTTTTTATCGAATTAAAGTTTAAAATTTGTTATTTAATTTTCCGTTGTCAACGAATAAGAATAAAGTAAATGTCAAATAATTGTTCAGTGATTGCAAATCAGTTTTAGAATAGGGAATGAGGTAGTTTAGTACTTTTTTTAAGGCGGTAAAATGTAGTTTTTTCAAGAGGGAAACATCGATTTTGCTAAGGGAGTCAAGATGGCGGAATAGAGCGAGAACGCTGTCAATATCCAACACCTTGTATTATTCCACCATGCGCTTCGTGTAGGATATTTCCTCAACATCTGGAAAATATGTATCTGAAATACTTGTCATACCCAAATCAAGTAAAGATCCGACAGTAGTTCATACAGGTAAAACAGTTTAAACTCTGTATTCTCAAAAAATTTCGAAAAACTCCTCCTGAAAAAATTGCAACCTTTGCTAGCGCTAAACAATAAAGTAGCTCAGTAGCGATTCGGGTATCTTGAACAGTGTTGCCAACAATAGTCTATGTATAAGGCGAACTTAGTACAGTGCGTAGGCATCTAGCTGAGTAAGTTGGGGTCGTCGGTTCGAGTCTCGCTGAAGAAGTCTGATGAGGAGATGTGGTGATCTTCGAAATAGCTATCACTTCTACCATTTATAAATTATTGTTAATTTCTCCGGAACAGTTTTCATTAAAAACGCCCTCAAGCTCACTAAAATTGTTGAATATAATTGTTATAAGGCCAAAAATAACAAAAAAAGAAATAAATGTTCCTAAAATTAAAAATAAAATTAATAAAAAAACTAAAACGTAATTTGAGAGAATCAAAATTATGCAATATTTGTTTTCTCGATACTTTATCTGCAATACAATTTTCCCTCAAAAGTCTTAAATGGTCCTTCGACATTCTTAATAATTTTCATTTGAATAGAATTCAGAATATTCTGGCAAAGAACTTCAGCAATTACCAAGAAACGCAATGCCCCTCTGAAAACTGTCTCCAACTGATTCATAACGAAGATCTGGCGCCTCTGTTTCGCTGCCACCTTACCACTCCTTCATGGCTGCGTGCGTCCAGAAAGATGACAAGTTGATGGCATAGCATGTGCACAAAAACCAAACGGACAGCTTAAGAGCATGCGCGTCAACAGCAACAGGTTGCTGGAATTTTTGCATTTTGTCACAAACAGCTAGGTTGGGCGAGAGCGCCATGCTGGTGCGACATTTTTCAAACTAACAGTTTAGGCGTTGAAACAAAAATCTGCATTTAGGCGCTAAGACTGATGGAAGCCAGTTTTGTTTCTCTAGATTTTTTTTTTTACATTAGTGTCACTGTCGTGCTCTCTTTTTATGTTGCTCAAGCACGCCATTAATCAAATGACAGTTGAGTACATACCATTAGACAGTGATGAATGTTGGTTGAACGGTATGTAGGGTTGCAGCAAGATAGGAAACGTGCAACTCGCTAGCAAAACTAGAGTAGCCGAGAGTCGTTGACGTATGAACACATCAGCGTTAAGTGATTTTAATTGAAATTACAAAGCAACGGTACTTTATTAAGTATATTATGATTTAGTCAGCACAAGCGGAGGCGCAGGCGCAGGCGCATGTCGATGCATTTCAAGCGTGATGGCTCGCAGGCGTTCGATGATGCAGTAAGAACGTGGTCCATTAGTGGCAGGCCGGCAAGCCGGCAGGCAGAAACTGGAAAGAAGTTTTCTCGAGTATGTTCGACAGTTTGGCGGACATGTTTTCACACACACACACACATATATATATATATAAACGTATGTACAAAAATGATGATTTGCATATTTTATGTGTTGTTAATTTTATAACTTATTTTGTTGGTGCATTTTAGCCACCAGGAAGCATTATGGTCAGCCAGGAAAGCACTCGAGTTAGTTGGGAAAAATGAAACAAATTTAAAAAGTAACACAGCCTGCTACATTAAAAGTGATTAACACTGGCACAACACCGCCAGTAGCATCCAGTTCGCTTGCTGCCTATAAATGTGGACTAAGTGCGCACTTTAGTGGAAACGAGAAGCTCCAGACTCGCTGCTTTGCATAGATCATCATCGTTGATGCCGAAGTTGAAGCTTTGCCAGCTGAACCCCTGGCCTCTTAGTCAGTCGCTGCTAGAATTCATACACTTGCGTCGAAATTATGAATATTTGCGCGTTGTGTGTGGGCTGCTCCTAATGACCGACATGCATTACACTTCGACTGGCTGTGCACAAATGCATTGCAACATAAATACCAACTTGCCGACTTTAATTATTATGAAGCGGCTATGCAATATACACCTAGCGCGGTAAATATATGGCTCTACATACCGATACACACACGCTCACTGCCATGCATTTGATAAATGCGTCTAACTCCTTTAGCTTTTTGGCATGCCTGTCTACTGCCACGGCAATTATCTAATGGCCTGGCTTTTAGCTCTCGCATTTGGTTGGCATGAAGCGCGTTCATGCTTTTAATTGATTTTAAATGCAGCGTGTCGGCATTTTTGCAAATGTGTTATCATTTGAGTGTAATCGCCGTGCAAATGCTTTATTTTAGTTGTAGTTTTCTGGTTTCCTAATCCATTTTATTGCTTCTAACTATTCGTGTTTTAATTTTCTGTGATCTTTTAAGACTCAAAGTAACTGCAGTCGAACATTATTGAAGATGTCAAGTGAAGATTTGTAATTGAAAATATGTGGTAATTGAGTGCTACCTGATTATACTTAGACATTCGAGCGCAGAAGTGGCTTAACTGGATTAAATAGCGATAGGCGTGCGAAGAAGTGGAATGCTTTTTACACTGATGCTACTTTTTTTAAGCATTAAGCGCTCTATATACTGGTTCCAAGAAAGAAAAATTTTTTGTGTCAAACTATAGGCAGTTCCTCTATGAAAGTTCAGATCCGAGATATGTGAAAACGTTGGGGTACATAGACAGTTTTCACTCACATACTTTTAAGTTGCCGTAATAATATAAGAACATCCCACATCTTTCCTAATATTAAGGGATATAAAGAACCTCTTCCGATTTATGAAAAAAATCGTAGACATCAGAAGGTAATGCCTTTTACTGAAAGCGAAGAACTGGAATTGTATTATCACACCACACTATTGGAAAATCATAATGCTTAAAATGATGATTGGGATAACAGTTTTGATGTTTTGTTAAGGGTATTCACACGATTTCGTAAGCGTTCTAATCTCTTAAAGTAGAATAACAGCTGCAATGGTTTTAAGGGATCTGTAGGACATAATAGGAGCTATTTGTATATTTTATATCGATTTTACAGCATTTTGGTGCGATTAAAAATCCTTTAAAAGCAATTTAACGGTTACTTTTTAATTGCAAAAATTGTATGTCTTTATGACTTGACGACACACATAGGGGGTATTTGACTATACCAAAAGGCAATAAATGACTATAAGTGACCTTAGGATCAATGTGAACGGATGGAATTTTTAGAAATCGCAGTCCAAATTTCAAGCCTTAATTTAAGCCTAAGTGGATGGTTCTATCACCTTTTGCTTAATTGCGGTAGGTACTCAAACTTCAAAAAAATCAGTTTTTGCTGTTCAATAAATGTCTACAAGCAATCATCAAGGGAAAATGCAGCAATAATATTTGCAGGGATAGTAGCCGAGGTTTTTAGCTTTAAATTAAGCCAAAGTAGAAGGTTCTGTCTCCTTTGTTACTTTGCTAGAGCTTCTCAAAACGCAATGTTTTGACACTTTTCGATTTTCTCATGGATTCGTAAGCAGCACAAAAAAGTCTAACAAAAACAGCTTTAACATTTGCCGCGGCAAAATTTTTTTCCGCTTTTGTTGGCCTGTATTATATCTCGAAAAAGTTTTAATGAAGGAATTAGTTGACTAGTCATAATTTTTTCTGCCAAACGCTTACAAATCATGCAAGGTGTCCTTTTATTCCTCGAATATATATTTATTTATTGATTCGTTTATAATTGGCACTAGGCAGCTACAAAACTACACGTAAATAATATTGGCCAACTTTTGAAGGCAAGGTGTCCATTCGAACGTCATGGCCAAGCCA